ATTGTACAGTGGCATTAAATGCCGTAATGTGCACTTCTGCCTACCCCTTCGGGGATAAAAGGCGTGATGTTATGTAATGTTATATTAAAAAAGGCATTTTCATTGAGAAGCTTTTCTTTTAAAGCAAAAAGTTCAACTGATTTCGCACGTGTAGCATAAATTATGGCGTGGTTCACAACACAACAAAGTACCCATGTCCATGGTTGTTACACCATAACAAATAACAACAACAGCACCTATTCAACAGGCTCATCACTTGGGACGCTGGCGGCTCGCCAGTCGCCAGAACGTAACACTGATCCTTACCCGACTGAGGCAAACTGCTATAAATCGTAGTACGAGTGCTCCTTACCTACCACAACGAGACAAACTTCTCACTCAACAGGTTTTGGCAGCTCCTTTAAAAAGGGATTTGTTTTCATATTTTATACTATCCTCTGCCAGCGCCTTCGCTCGCGTTCCCGGGGGTGAAATATAGCCATGTTATATTACTCCAGACCTTAATCTCCTTCTATTCCAGATTTCATCCCGGTCCCTTCAGCCGTTTTAATGTGACTAAGTAACAAACATACACAAAATCTCATAAATTTATAGTAGCGGTGCAAGCTAATTTCGACCATCGGCCCTACAGTTACAGCGTAAACTCCACTGCGGATAACTCAACATTCGACAACCTTATATTTGCGTTTTGTACAGTAACTGTATCTAAAGATTGAGCCGCACAATTAAGTTTGTATTTTCGTTTCGGGATAAAAAGTACCCAGTGTTGTTGTGCCCAGGATATTGAAGTATAATCATAACAACTTTCATGGTACTCAGACCGGTAGAAAACAAAAATTAATCACATTTTTGCGTTCGATGGCTATCTAGTAACACCCTCTACTGTTTATTTCTTAATATTTTCAATGTACAGCATTTACGTTTGTACAGTTTTATTATACAGAGTGAAAACGGAACGCTCCCAAAACGCTGAACAAAATGGTTGTTAAAATTTTAATCGTTTTTGTTTTCATGTTATTCGTGCAACATCAGCCTTGAGCAGTTGATTACAACTATTATTACATTAAAGAAACCTTTCATTCCTAACTTCTATCAAAACTAAACTTGCTTTTTACCATCACTTGTCGTTGATTTTCGGGAGTGTTCCGTTTGCACCTGTATGCATAGATGTCAGTTACACTTTTTTTTCTAAGCGGGGAAAATCATCGAATGGCTGCTCCCGCCTGGGTGAGGCGGGAGGGAGTGTCAGACTCTTACTAAAAACCACCCCGTTCCTTCTCCTGCACGTCGAGCCGGAGCCCCGGTTACACGTTAGGTTCTCCGATGTCAGTTACACTAGAAGTATTTCTCCCCAATTCATGTTCATTAGTTTACAGGTATTTGTGCATAACACGCGCCGCCTGTAAGTCCCACGATGGAAATACGAGCAATACTGTTTCATAAGATATGATAGATATTGTATATACCGATACGGAATCTTTGGATTGTATGGGCACGCTTGTGGAATTGTGAGATAGTCACCCATCTACTCGTACGTACCTATATGTTATGTGTGAAAAAATATATTCACTGTTGTTGTAATTTCATTGTCACGAAATATGTTAGAGCGGCAATCAATGCTCAACCTTTTTTACGAAAAATGTACAGAGCCATTTCGATAGTTTTAGCTATACGTTGTAGCGTCGCGTTGAAAAAGCGTTAAAATAGAACAAATTGCAATTTAGTCCTTAGCGCCAAAAGCCCAGCGTTCAAAATGCAACACTGCTCAATAAAAGAATCGCGTCTCGTAAAATAGCTGGACGTGTGAACACGTACTAGCAGTTGCATTTATTTTTTTCTATTTGATATTGTTCTATTATGTTTTCTTCCATTTGATTTGAATTTTGTTCGTTATGAATGCCTTTTTTAACGCATTTACAAAAATAAACGACTGCCTCGTTGGCCGAGAGGTCGCAAGTGCGACTGGCCGGGCAAGAGGTCTCGGGTTCGATACCCGGGTCGGGAAAAGTATTACTGGGTTTTAAAAAAAATCTCAGTATATGGCAATAGGCTCACCCCCTTTTACATAGGATTCATAACATAAATAGTGAAAAATGGGTGTTACATTGTATCTACAGTGGCATTAAGTACTATAATGTGTTTACGCCTTAGGGGATAAAAGGCGTGACGTTATCTTGTTATATAAAAAATACCTTATGCGAGTGGGGCTTTATTGTATTAAACCAACTTTTCTATTTACAGAGAACTCGTACTTCTTCTCATCGAACCGATCATCAGCGACAGTGACGTCACCAGCCCACGCGCTGCTACTGCTGTGGTGTGCTGCTCTAAGGTTACTGCGGCCCTAGCCTAGTGCGGCCTGGCCTAGCGTGGCCTGGCCTAGTGCGGCCTGGCCTAACGTGGCCTGGCCTAGTCTGGCCTAGCCTAGCTCTAGTTGTGGAAGACTCAATGATACCAAACTGTACATAAGTATTTAATTATACATTCCTTGTTACAAATATCTGTATTATTATTACATTTTCCTTTACTTCTGTCATAGTACCTCGAGGTGTGTACATAAGACTCAATCGCGGGTAGTTGAAGCGACGCCGACGGACACGAAAGACTGTCTCTCCAAATAAGTATGTCTACAGAGGCCTTAGTACGAGTTTGATTTACGTTTAAAGTATTCGAAACGAGTACGCGTTCGGCACTGTGATTGGCCGGCGCCAATGAACCTAAACTGCCGTTGGTCGTCTCTCCTCAGTTTCAAAGCACCTCCCTAACTGCCTCAGCCGGTATTGGAATACTTGGTGTCAACATTTCGAGCGACGTCCAGTTCTGCGGTCATTTAGAGGATAAGGCCAAATTAGCCTCGAGGAAGCTTGGTGTGCTCAATAGATCGAGGCAGTATTTCACCCCGACCCACCGCCTGCTTCTATACAAGGCACATGTGCGGCCCCACATGGAATACTGTTCTCATCTTTGGGCGGGGGCACCCCAGTACCAACTTCTTCCTCTGGACCGCATTCAGCGGCGTGCCGTTCGGATTGTTGGATGTCCGGATGTTTCAAACCGGCTCGACACTTTGGCAATGCGTAGAGATGTAGCTTCATTGTGCATTTTCTACCGCTTATACCACGGGGAGTGCTCTGAGAAATTGTTTGACCTGATACCTGCCGCATCTTTTCGCCATCGACCCTCACGACAGCATATGCATCCCCATCATATAGATGGTTGGCAGGCCACAACTGTGCGGTTCTCACGTAGCTTCCTGCCTCGCACAGCAAAACTGTGGAATGATCTGTCGTCGGCGGTATTTCCGAACCGATACGACCTTCAAACCTTCAAGAGAAGAGCGTACTCCTTTTTGAAGGGCCGGCAACGCACCTGTGACTCTTCTGGTGTTGCGGGTGTCCATGGGCGGCGCTGATCGCTTACCATCAGGTGATCCGTCTGCTCGTTTGCCTCCTATTCCACAAAAAAAAAAAAAATGAAGCAACCAATCAGAGCGCCGAACGCGTTCTAATTCGTACTAAGGCCTCGGTATAATGACACATTACAAGCATGAGGTACCTGTGTATTGTATATCCCTTAAGGGATTACTTCCTGCAGACCTGCGACAGGAATAGGAATATAAGTAAACATTAGACACAGTGTAGGTAAATGGTTACATGCAATGAAGACAAGAAAATAAAAATATTATCTTACGATCAACTAAGATTTGAAGCTTAGAATTTGAATTTTGACTGCGAGTTTTCATGATTTTCATTAATTTAATATATTAATTTATATTTGCTGCTCTAATTTATAGACTGCCTCGTTGGCCGAGTGGTCGCAAGTGCGGCTGCCGAGCAAGGGATCTCGAGTTCGATTCCCTGGTCAGGCAAAGTATTACTGGGTTTTTAAAAAATTCTCTCGCACGTAGTCTAGAATTGTGCCCGGTATATGGCAATAGGCTCACCCCCTATTACATGGGACCCATAACATAAATAGTGAAAAGTGAGTGTTATTTCTGTGTGCAGCTCTGCCTACCCCTTCGGGGATAAAAGGCGTGATGTTATGTTATGTGTTATGTTATGTTATATTATGTTATATTCTGCTTATCATTTTTGTTGCCCCACACTGGGATTTCCTCCTGTGTCGTTGTGCGTTTACAATCATACAAGTTCACATACACGATTGTGTTTATTACACGAAAAATAGACACTTTCCAATTTATAATATTAATAAGGATGACACACATGAGACAAGAATACAGGCTCATATGTAGAGGTAGACAAGAATACATAGTTTGCCTCGTTTGATTATTTGTTTGGGTAGTAGTTGTAATTTTACCTTCCCAACTATAGATCGATATATAGGTGACGTTCTTTCAGCTAAATAAAACCATTTAAAATCGTTAAAAATGTGACTAAAAGCTAAAACTCGAGACAGTTATGCAACTGTCTAGCCCGGTCTAGTCGCCGCCATCAACAATTCAGTGTTAGAAGTCCCGCATCGTTCTGTATCGACGCGCGAGTGCATTTCCTAGCATCAAATATTCAAAGCTCGACTGGTGGACTGGGAAGGGGCCTAAATTACTAGCTGACTGCACCGCTCACTGCACAATGTATTTAGTTGTGCACTCGACTGATGTGTTGTGTGCGATGTGTCTCGGGTTCGATTCCCGTGTCTATTATTATAGTTATTACTTTTAGTTTTTGCGTTGCGGGGTCATTAGGATTTTCTCCTCTTATGACACCCAGACCCGAAATAACAATTTGTGAATCTTATATAGAATTGGGTGCTTACTCTTGAAACCAATCTCACTGTCAATGCAATTTTAATCCAATAAAATTTCAATAATTATTCAATGTCAAAACTATACAACCACAAATGTAGCTGTTAAAATAGCATTTAATTTAGAGTACGGAATATAAAGTCAAACTCGATACCATTTAGTTCATTCAATATCTACGCAATACAGATGCAATGGGCGCTAGTGTTGCAACTCAAGAGTACGAAATTTCACAATACTAATGTCGATCGATCGGAATCGGATTCAAGAGTCAGCCCCCTGTTTCGGGCGGAAATCTAATACGCGACACGTTGCATAGCAGCCAGGAGCTGGTCACTGAGCCACGGTCCCAATCGTGCGGATAAAACTTGAGACGTGTGTGTAGGGTGTACCTATGTCTTTATTTATTTATTTGGACATCCAACAAAAGGTACATACAAGCTAAAATATTTTCCACTAGATATTACTATAGTCTTGTGTTCTTTTTTTACACTTGATAGGTCGACGTTTACCCACCATCTCGCCTGATGGTAAGCGATGACGTGGCCGACGATGGAGCACGCCTACCTATGAGCAACCTGTTCACTCGGGACTTGAAGGCACCCAAGTCATATTTGACGGGAAACACAGACTCCGGCAAGGAATTCCATAATGTTCCTTCAATTAAAGGGAATCACATCAAGCAAATACAAACATACAGCAATTGAATTAAGTAAAAATAAATTGAATTACAAAATTGTCATGATTATTCAAGAAAATATATAAAAAGTATAAAACATCAGACTTGTTAATCATGACATAACACAAGTCAAACGAAAAATAAAAAACTGCGTTTAAAAAAACCGACTTCAAAAACAAAACACAAACGAATAGTAAAATCTAAGGAGCAAAAAATAACTATTATTGGTACTACTATACGTAGCTTACACACACACTAAAATATAACAAAATATAAAATGTCCTTACTTGCTCAAACTGTGTATGTACTTAGGTATATAAACACTGAAATTTAAATTATTAAGCTATACATATCTTTTATACTCTTAAGTCGTGGGTGTGTTTATAAACGTACAATTTCACATACACACGACACACGAAACGACAATTTGTAGATCACACAAGAGTTCCTCCATGCGGGAATCGAACCTGCTGCACGCTGGGCGACAACCGTTTACCCAACCACCGCACCAATCGTGCTTTCAGTTTGCACATAATTAATACACGAGTAATATCTAAGTATAATTACGAAGTTTCATAACAGATAGCCCCAATTTTTTAAAACAGAATAATGAAAATACCCATATCAAATAATAAATAATACTATTACACTCTGTAAGGAGTCGTAGAGTAGTACAGTAGAATAAAATAATTCATCGTCGTCATTCACGACGTCGCTACAAAGTCACATCACACGAACATTTTCAATCTCCCCTCGATGCTTCTCGAAGCTTCGACGGACAAATTAATTAGCCAGTACATACGGCACATAGGTAGTCTAGGTGGTGCAGGAACCCTTAGGTACACTGTGCAGACGGGCACTTACATAACCGTTGCGTGGTGGTACGCATGCGCGAGGGTGGGCCGCGCGGATCGATGCGGAGAACAGCTCGGCCGCGCCGGCCACGGCCCGCAGACATGGCCCGCGCCTAGTCCGAGCAACATGCGTCGCACCGGGACGCTCCTCCTGCTCTTCCTATGTTCAGTCCAAGCCAACTTGGAAGGTCCCTTCCTATTCTTCGGACCAAAATCCTTAGACAAATACAAAAGACCAGCTCTGAAGTACTTGGACCAAGATGAGCTGATGCGGATATACGGAGAGCAGGCGGCGATAGTGGTGTTCAACAACCAGGACTCAGTGCCGCTGTCCAGTGGGTTCTTCCCGCGGCTGCGCAAGATGCTGGAGCGGCAGAGCACGCTGGTGCTGCCGCAGGACTTCCTCGACGTGCACCCCGACTACATCAGCAACGAGACGCAGGTGGGCTTCTCTCTGCTTCACATTATTGTACTTTACTTTAATTATATTTAAGTTAGTTTGTAAAACAGAACGCCGGCGAAATGGGGTTGCCTTCCACACACATCACATTGGAAAACAACGTGTTACGCTCTGCCCGCACTTTTGAATGTCGTCATACTTTAGTTCATAAGAGTTAATGTACTTAATAATAAGTTATATTGTATTATTTAATTTATCGTAAGGTAATGTCCTGACCAAAGAATAAAGAACTGCAGTTCTTTCTTCTATGGTTATGACTTAGTCGTAAGTTTGATAAGTTGCATGTTTGTCTTAAGGTAGGGGTAGGGCCTCCAATGTGACAAAGAGGTTCATATTGGGGCGTTCCGAGACCAACGACCACTTTACACGACGCCGGGGGGTTGAGTTATTGTGGGACAGGGCGGTGAGGCGCGACCTCTTTGCTGTGAATACTATTGAGGTATAACTGTCCCTCGCTTGACAAGTTCCACAAACGCTAGTCCAATAGAATAGGAAAGTCAATCTATGATATTGTTTTAAGTTTAAGCACAGACTTCAATTCTCTTCGACCAACATTTTGTTACTTGTCTAGTGGGACTTCTTTCTACTTATAATAAAGTTCACTAAACAAATATATCTCAGTAATATACCGAGGTTATGTTCGAGTCGCTTTGTCCTATGGTAACTTGTTCTCCCCCCGGGGTCAGTAAGGTGGTCGTTGGTTTACGGGACGCCCAGTACTTGCCCACAGGTGCTGACGCTGCAAGGTCCCTGGTCGGAGCGTGATGCTCAGATGACGGAGACGTTTGCCCGGCTACAGGACATCTACGGTGCTGGTCGTGTGCTTGGGATCCTAGGTGTGTAAGCTAATTTCTACTTAATTTTTTAAGATGTAGAGTGAATTATTTATTAACTATTTTGTTTGTTTTAGTTTTGTTGTGTAAATTATCGACTCACTAACATGTGATTTTCCAATCTTCAGGTAACTCAGTGTCACAAAGTCAGTCAGCTGATTACATTGACGGAGAGCCGTGGGCCCGGGTTCGACGCCAAGCACAGAACGATACGACATCGTCGACTACTTCTCCAGACGACGAGAGACCATCGAAAGTGATGCAGAAGTTTGCACTTTATAACGCTACAGGTAAAGTTCAATGTTAATTATCATTATGAAATTTTGTGGTCGAGTTTGAGAAATTAAGACAAGCATAATTGCTTGTCTTTATTTTGAGTTACGTTTCGGGAATAAAGGTGAGATATTGAATGCATATTTTATAATTTCCAGGTCTGCCAGGCAAGAGCGCTCTCCTATATTCGTCCGGATGGCCGGAGTTACGTCGTACGAACGGTAGCACCATCAGACTGAGCACTCCCGTCGGACAGCCGACCATCAAACCGACCCGGCTGTACACCATCATGGTCGTTCGGTTCGTTGACGGGGATAGTAGAGATAAGGTAGGCAGAGGAACACGTCATTCACATACTTGAGTAATTGTGTAGTGTGTAGTAATTGTACCGGTGATCGGTATGTGGCGAAAGGATCCCGCCTATTACATGGGATACATAATAAGAGGCTGAAACCTTATAGCCACTTTATCATTATGTTCACCATTCTCGGGCCGCAGCTGTTTTCTGCTGGACGTGACGTTTCCGAAACCACAGTTTTTTTAATTTTCTCTAGTTGTTAATGATCCGATTATTTATAATTTTCAGATAACTCTCGAGTTCAGCTTCAAGCAGTCAGCTGGCTGGTGGACTGCAGTAGGAGTGGAGGTGAAGTTTGGCCTGGAGACGACGGGCATAAGTCTGAAGGCACCAGCGCCACCTGATGCACCATCCGCTGTACTAGGCCGATCCTACCACTGCTCGCTGCCACTCGTCTACTCCTCTGAAGAAGCTACACTGACATTGCCTGACGTACAGGTATACATCATTCCAGTATATAACATAGCGAATCATGGCGTGACGTAACGTAACTTATTAATCATGTTATTTGTTTAACGTTTACAGATGCAGATGTTCATGGACAGCACTGAGAAGTTCTCTGATGCCTTCGACTGTATCGGTTTCACCACTGTACCGATCTGGTAAGTTATACTTATATCTTAAGTATATATACAGACTTTGTCGCACGGTTACTTCAACTAATACATATAATGTTGTTGTCTTCAGGTCTGGTATAATGGTCTCCTTCATCATGTTGATCGGCCTGGGCATCTCCATCTCAATGATCCTCGACATCAAGACAATGGACCGCTTCGAGAACAACCGCAGCAAGCAGCTCACCATCACCGTCAGCGAATAAATCATTACTCTGTGCTACACTACATCTATAACCACACCTACCTTTACTAGAGTATCGTATCTTAGTCATTAATCTCATTCTTGTTACTTCCATAGTGCGTGGGTCATTTCTATTAAAAGATTTCCTATCTGTGATCCGACCTACGTGCTATAGAAGTTGGTTTTACTTAGGTTTAATATGTATAGAACATCCATAAATCGCGGTAGCAGATATATCGTTATGTGCAGTCGCGATTTATAAGCATTGTCGTACGATGGATGCGGCGGTGACTTTCTTCACAAACAACATAATCACTCTTTGAAGAGCTTCCTTAGGGTCAATATGGTCCATCACTAATTGGCCCGACCCCTCAGTCACGTGGAGCGAGGCGCGCGTGTGGGTGCGGGCCTTGCTCCACGTGATGCTCATCTCTTTCCATGCTGGTCTGGGAAGGAAAGAAAAACATAGAAGGGCCAGCTGCTTCTCCTCCCGCGCAAGTCGTAAGAGGCGACTGAGGGATCCGTGGTCACGCGGCGCACGGCGCGGGGCCTAGCAATCCCCCGCGCTCTGAGCGCCGCCACCTCCTCAGCCAGTATTGCTAGCAACGCTCCAGGAGACACCTGCTGGAGCGTTGCTCATAGAGTATTTTTGTACAAAACTAGGTTTAATCGCATCAAAAAGCCGGGAAAACGCTTAGCTAATCTTAGTTTTATCTGTCTCTGTTCCTGTCCTCTTGTCTTTCCTTAGGTTAAGTGTTAAGATAGTGTTAAGGTAGTAATAAGCGAACATGTGTGGAAAGCATAGGTAAGAATGTCAATGATACGTATATTTAAGTGTAAAAATTAATATTAAGGATATTGTCGATGGGAAAGACGGTATCTTTTTTAAGAATTAAAAAATTTAATCTTGCAAATATATTGTGAATATAATTGCATATCAAATGTTACTACACGAGTTTTATTTACTCCCTCATGGTGTCCTAGGATAGGCACTCCAACGTCATTAATTAAGGAAGGGACAAACAGAAAGGCAAGCATAAGACTGATGACATTCAATTACTAAATGGTAATTAAAACCCTTCCATAGCCAGTGACGTATCTACAGGGTGGCAATTTGTAGCCGCAGTTCTCAACAGTTCTCAACTGAACATCTTTGTTTTGATAGAACAAATGGGGGCCATCCAATGAGTTTACCACGGCCCTCGAACAGTATAGTTACGCCACTGCCCATTGCACTATTTGGCTACTACCACCAAAACCATACTACCTACCTTATAAGCTGACAATCGTTTAGTTTAGTATCTTGAGAACAATAAGCGACGTTATATTTATGAGATGTTATTCGCATGGCCCGCTGTATGCATAATTACGCCGGTCCTGCTGACCCAGTGTGCATGATGTGGGGCTGATAACATGCCTGCACAGCCTCGTATCTGATGATGAGGAGGTGACAGGCGCTACATCAGACAGAGTTATTGTAGTCAAGGACGCAAATCTTACTCATGTTCCAGATTTCATTTCTTACTTTGGAATATTAAGTGTGTAAATGTATTTATACTCTTGGTTTTATACCCTATTTTTTTTTTAAGGGGGGAAAATCTTCGAATGACTGCTCCCGCCTGGGTGAGGCGGGAGGGAGTGTCAGACTCTTACTGATTAAAAACCACCCCGTTCCTTCTCCTGCACGTCGAGTCGGAGCCCCGGTTACCCGTTAGGTTCTCCGCGACCTCATGGACGGATGGATGGACAGGTTGATGGTGATGATGATAAATGAAATGTACCGTCAGTTACGTCATTAATAGTGAACCTATTAATGGATACTTTTCTCACATACTCTGAGATTCTCCGTATGTTTTGACGTCACACCCCGTAACGTTTCACGACTTTACTATTACTAGTGTAAGTAGAACAGTCGGTGACATTGACACTTATGTGTTATGGTATTCATTAAAACAGTAACATTAATCAAAACATTAATTTGTTTTATTGTTGTTGAACGTGTGAGGTGTTCAAATAGATATTTTAATGTTATGGAGTGGAGTTCCCATTGTCTACCCCAAATAACTGATTATTGCTTTAAGTCAAATTAAAAGTAATTACATCTTCGTCCCAAATGGGTAGCATACGGATGAGTGGATAGGGACTACGGTTACCTTTTAATGGGATTGATTGAAAGCGACTATACGACATCAACCTATTCTTCTCTAGTAGGGTTTTTATAATATATTATTATAGATAAAGATAATGATACGTTTTAGTGAGTCATCATTGATATACAGACAGAGAAGTAAGTCGCTTTCTATCGCGAGCTCAATAATCCTGGGCGGACTGGTTCTAAGTGTGTTATCAATAAAAATAGCATCGCATTCATTGAACACATTCCTAGACACTTAGAACAGGTAGATATACTTTAAAATAAGGTAAAGAAGGGATCTTTTAAGAGATAGAGGGGGTATCTTTTTTATGAGGGAGACTTCTCCTGTCTGGGTGAGACGAGAGGGAGTGTCTCTCTTATTGATTTAAACCACCCCGTCGCAAATCCTACTCTTCGAGCCGGATGCCCGGCAACCCGTTAAGTCTTCCACGGCTCCGTATCGATACAAAGGGTCCTAAGGTTTTAAATAACCACGTTTTAGAGGTTTTAATACTTAATACGAACTTATTTTTATACTCTTTAATTTTGAGTTATGTTAAGAGTTTCATGTAATATGAATATATTTCGAATTCCGTGGAATGACTGGAATTTGTCTTTACATTGTTATAGAAAATTTCAATAATAAGCTGGTTCTAAAGAGTTCGTTCGTTTTATTTTACAGGCATCGATAAAACACGTTGTAAAGGCCTGCGACTCGAGACAAAAGCGAAAGTTATATGAATATTATGATGTATGGCGCACTGTGGTGAACTATGGTAAACCACGAACCATCGGCTTGTCTCATCTTGTATCATGGCTTTCCCTCACTATAGGAACTAGTAATAGGAAAATGTTAACCTGGATATATAAAAGGCTTTTTTATAGATACATTTTGTATATTTGACGTTGAGTCAACGTTTGGTTACTACCTCGCCTGGTGTAAGCGATAACGACTTATGATCTATAACAAGTGGCATGGCCTTGTATAACCTGAAGGTTTGGCATTTTTATAATAGTACACGTATAATATTGTACATAAAGGTGCTCCCTCACTGGGAACATTGGCGTGTAATGTAACGTTACAGATCTGAGCATTGCATCAGTGAAGGAGGAGAACCAAGCATTACAATTTTTATTTATTTATTTATTTATTTATTTAAAACCTTACCTAAAACTATCATTACAGTTTTCTCCATTGCGATAGCTTAGGTCTAAAACTAAATCTATGTAGGTACCTAATTACTAATACATATGCATACACAAACTTAATTAATCTTAACATTTATCCATAAAAAAAGAGATAATACTAAAGACTTTATGGTCACGAGATCAGCGGTGAACTACTTACTAAATAACAATAATAAAAAAATTAAATGAAATAATAATCTTAATTAACATTTAAATAACATAATATATACAACGTAACTTTTACGAATTCACTCACATTGCAACACAATACATCCACCCTTTCATGGACTTCGTTCACTACTCTCATAGCTCTAGTGAGAGGAGCCCTAGCTAGTAAGTTGGTTCTGGCTGCCGGCACAGCGAGGAGAGGCGGGCGTCTCCTCTTCCACACATAACGGTCCGGCACACATAGCTGCAGGTGTCGCAGCACCCCCGGATTATGCGCTACGCCGCGCAGCAGCTTCACCACATACGCTACCAACGCAAAGTCCCTCCGCACCCTTAGCTCGTTGTACCCTACCATACCCAGAACAAATAGAGTAGGGTACATCAGGGGGTAAAATGGATAAACTCCATAAAGTTTGAAATACAAGTGCCTTGTAAATTTATTTTGAACACGTTCCAACATGACGCTGTATTTCGCCTCGTGCGGTGCCCATATAACTGCACTGTGCTCGAGGTGACTCCGCACTAATGTGTCATACAGTACCCTGAGTGTCGTGATGTTGGTGAACCCCTGAGTTTGTCTGAGTACAAAGCCCAGGTTCCTGTATGCCTTCCTACAGATCTTATTGATGTGTTCACGAAATGTCAGTTCTGGAGTGAAGACTACCCCTAAATCTCGTACCTGTGAGACTCGTTGCATCGGCTCGCCTTTCACCCTGTATTGATGCCACAAAGGAGCCCTAGCACGAGTAAATGACATCACCGAGCACTTGTCCACGTTAAAGTGAAGTCTGTTGACATTACTCCATTCAACCACTCGATTAATATCATCCTGCAGGCGTTCACAATCCGAGCTATCTTCAACCTTGAGTAGCAACTTCAGGTCATCTGCAAACAATAAACAACTCCCATGCCTGACAACTTCCGGTAAGTCATTTATCATTATGATGAACTCAAGAGGCCCTACATTGCTACCCTGGCTCACGCCCGACCTAGTATAGTACGGATGAGATTCATATCCGTTGTAATCTACATACTGTTGGCGATCCTTCATATAGCTAGCGAAAAATTGTAGTAGAGGCAACGTACATCCAACCTTCGCAAGCTTTCTCAGTAAAACATCATTATCAACGGTATCAAATGCCTTTCGAAAATCAAAGTACGCGGCATCCACCTGAACTCCAGAGTCAACTGACGGCACCACCTGCACCATAAAGTTGAGTAAGTTAGTTGTAGTGCTCCGTCCCGGCCTGAAACCATGTTGCGCATCGGATAAACATGCTCGCACTTGCCCCTGCACGGAACGCTGAATAGCTGACTCTAGTACTTTAGCAGGCGTCGATAGTACCGCCACCGGTCTATAATTACAAATATCAGGACCTGTTTTCCCTTTAGGAACCGGAATAACGCGCGTGGTCTTCCACCTGGAGGGGAACCTCGCCTGTTCCAAACAAGTGTTAAATATGTGTAGCAATGGCTCCGCCAGCACCCTCCCGCAGTCTCGAAATAGAAACGCTGGAATACCATCTGGACCAGATGATCGTTTCGGTTTCAAATTTCCAAGCGCCTGCTGAACCTCCGACAGACTTAGCGCCTCGATATGGACCCGCGAACTGGTCGCGCCAGCCTCCGCTAACGCCGCGCATGCGTCCAGTACGGGTGGCTCCTTGCTATACACCGACTCAAAAAAATTTGCAAACTGCTCCGCACATTCATCATCCGTTAAATGTTGACCTTCTCTTACAATACTATGCTTATTTAATGTTGATTTTTTTGACCTAATATATTGCCAAAACGATTTTGGATCCTTTTTAAATTGAAATTGAATTTTGTATCTGTGTTCTCTGTGTGCTATTTCTATACTTTTTTTAATGTAAGTTCTATACTCAGCAAATCTGATATAATCACTATGCAACTTGGATTTCTTGAATTGTTTATGAAATCTGGCTTTAATTTTTAAACTATTTATTATATCACTCGTATACCATACAGGGTATACGAATCGTGAGCTTTGATTACTAGGTTTTTTCCGTGGAACACATTCATTGATTAAACTATTAATGTTATCATAAAAGAAGTTCAACATTTCTTCCAAATCACGCATTTCATACAATGAACTCCAATCAGTAGAAACCAACTTAGAATACAGCAACTGAAAATCAGCCTTATTCCAATTCCATTTCGGTCTAATATCGCAAGCACTAATATTACTCGCACTGGAGGGGCCCGCCGAAACCGCGGGAGCATGCGCAGAGCGCACGTTGATCGCCAGCGGCGGGTGGTGCGCATCCACAGGCACAAG